TCCGACTAGCTAACTGACTCTCTGATCTCGAGGCGCAAAACGGCGAGGCATTACTTTTGACTGAGAAAATGGCCCCGAGCGGATCTCGCTCGTCGCAGTTCTCCTCGCCGCTGTTAAACTGGCTTAAATCCAACGTTCCGGCTGCCTCTAGCCTCTAGCCTCTAGCCAACGTAAAAAGTATAAAAACATGGCACAAGGCGCGGCACTACCGTATGAGAAGTTAACTGCCACTGGAAGCAATCCAAATACTTGAACTTTTCTGTAGAACGAATTCTATTAGGCATTGCCCCCTTTTCCCCTGTCCTTTGTGCACCCCACTCGCCGTACACTTTCCCTTCTTCGCTATTTTCACCAAACAAGAGACTATTCTTGAAACAAGCCATCCGCGTAGAGGCATTTCAACGGCCTCTATCGTCGTAAACTCATTCCGGCATTTTTATTTTTTGTTGCAGGTACGTATACGCCAGTCCTAACGATAGTTTTCGGAGTGTAGTGGAGCGAGCAAGGTAAACTGCATGCATCTTCGTACACACGAGAAATGTGTGGAAATTGTGCAACTGCCCAGATGATAATAGGGGAATTGAATATGCTTAGCATAAATTTTACTCAAGAGCACAGTGAGTGAGTGGGTACATTTACAATAGAGGCTGGAAAGTGATATGTATATATATATATGGTACAGATCCAGTTTGATTCAAAATTCAATTTTCCTTCAATGGCAAGGATTTTGGGAACGGACCTTAACAACCATAGTCTTTGAAGAGTTCTGTGGTTCTAATGAATCGACAAACCCGAGAGCGGCTCACAAATCTTAATAAGCCAAACCAAGCTAAGTCCTTTGATTTGTGCATGAAGGGTCATGACCCCTCCTTCCTCCCTTCTTCCAGCTACCAAGTTGAGAGACATTTAGAGCCCTGATTCTCGAGCCCATTGTCACGTAGAATGAACCTATAAACGCCTTCTCAGAGCTCCTTTAGGAGGTCGGGGCCATTTAAGAAGACACAGACCTCGCCTTGTGGCTTCGAGGCTCGTGTCGAGATCTCAGAATGTCTCAGAGAAATAGAGGCCACCAGCGATGCGCAAATGAGACAGCGAGAATCATCAGTTGGAAAATAAGTGCGGGGTTATATGGAAATTTGAAATAAGAGAAAATATCAGAGGCTGAACCCCGTGACTTCTGGGTACTCACGGATCATGATGGTCACGATGGTCATGATGCTGATCTTAGGATCGTCCTGGCGTTCCTCCCTTTCACGCATTGGAAATAGACGTCGCGCATGGTATCACAACTCCCGGTGGACCACCGACGTCGACGACGACAATGACGAAGTAAAGTCTGTACATCCCGTTTAATAAAATGATGATCTATCTCGTCGCGTGATCTCAGTCCGTGATGATCCCAGCAGAGTATGATGGTACAGTCCTGGAATTGATTAGAGCAGACTCAGTGAATGGATTTACGAGGAATAAATAGAAGCTTGAAGGGGATAGTAGAGGAAAAATGTCAAATAAAGTGTTTTATATATAAAATAGTTAAAACAAAAAATGAACGTCCTCTCGAGATAGGACTTCTAGAGCTAGGTTCTTTAAACGGATCATCCCCGGGGATAAATCTTGTGTTTCCCTTGGGAATCGAAGGGGGAGGCACGTTCCGCTTCTAGATTACAGTATTTATACAATCTTGAGGAAGATATATCACCGGGAAGTTGTGCGCGAGTTGCGTAAACCGATATACATAGAAACGCTTTACTCCGGTGTTCCCACCCTTTTTGGATAGGAAGACGGATAAACGGTAAGGGTGGATTTTTTTTTTTTTTTTTTTTTTTTT